AACAATGTTGAGCATATTTGTTCTGAGAAAGATTTACTATATCATACATAGAGAGATCAATGTAACAAGTAACTTGAAAATACTTTTTTTTTGGCCATTTTTATGTTTTTAATATGTTTCTTGTTTTTTATTCCTCTTGTTTACGCCTTATGTTTAAGAGGTAATAAATTATGATGCCCAATTTATGGATAGCCTTCTCGACGATGATTTCAGTTTCTTTGTTTTTACTGGAAGTGACTATATATATATATATATATATATATATGAATTAGAGCAAAGAGAGTTAAAATTTTTCTTTCGAAAATATTTTAGGCAGTGCAGAAAATAGGCACGAGCAGTCCCCTAAAGTCCAAATTTTGCCGGGAGATCAAATTTGTTGATGAAGTGATTTAAGCATGCAACTGAACTGTCCGTTCGTGATGGTTTTTTAACGATTCGTCTATCGTCAATCTGCAATGACTAGTATGTAGGTCAAGGTTCTAAGCGTTGAAGGTTTGTATATAAAGTTAAAAAATATTCCAAATGAATGAGACTGTTTCAGGTCATATGTCAACGTAGTTCTCAATATATATCTTGAGCTTAATACTAACTTACACAAGAAGAAGAATATTGCTTCTCAGTGCGAATAAACTAATATATTTACACTAGATTTAGAAAAATTTCATAAACACCCAGGAAAAAAAAAAAAGAGCACACTATCAACTACTGCAGTGTTAACTAGTACGTAATTATCATTTATAAGAGAAAATTAGGTGTTACTATGCGATATCAACTATTGTGTTATCAGAATATTTAAAAACCAATTGTCAGCTACAATGTTATTTTCTTGAGCACTTGATACAGCCACTTCAAGGCTAACCATATCACAGTATTACTAATGAACTTTGAACATTTGATTATTTTAAATGTGTGATAGCAGTCGCAATGATTCGTTTAACTTCAGTCCCTCATATATATCTATTACATGTAAGTAAGCAGTGTTCATACATTTCAAATGGATACACGTAGCAAGTCCACTCCAACTGCGTTTACTCGAACTAAATTATTACATTGTATATCTTACTATCGTATAAGAAATACAGCAATGTATGTATAACGTTAATAAAAATTAAGACGAACTGGTGTCAAATGAATTATGATTATACTTGAAGAAATTAGGAAGCATAACATCATACAACTTTTCTGATTACCTTCTAACGATCATTAGGATGAAAGAGATTTCGAGAACTAAATGTTCATTTAAGTTAACAAAGCACCAAATAATAAAATGGATGAAACACTTGTCTCTAGTTTTTCATTTAAAAAAATCAATTTTCAATACTATGCAATTCTTTGCTAATAACTGAAGAGTTTCGTAATTTTATAACGAAACATTTGGGAGCTTCGTTATTGAATTACCACACCATAATCTTTTTTTTTTTTTTTTTACAAATTTAAAATTTTCACCTTACTGAAGAAAACTATTTTTTAGCTATTACTAAAAAGCTAACTTGAGTTGCAAAGTTTTAATGATAGAATTACTGAACTGGTATACGTAATAATTTCGACGTAACAAGACTTGGGTTTCTGGACATCAGCTTCTAATTGACATTTCCTTAGTTACTAGGGTATAATTTAGGTGTTGCATAAATCCTGAATTTGTTTTTCTTTCCAAAAAAACAATAATATTACAATATACTTTGTTCAGAAGTATGTTGTTACATTGTTTTCCACTGAAGCGCAAAACCTTACAAAATTCAATATTATAACAAAATACGAAAACAATAGGCAGCAAACATTATTGGATAATTTTTGTAATTGAACAAAAGTAAACCTCATTAAATTTGTGATTTGACAAAAGTAAACATCATTAAGTTTGTGAAATACAATCTCTCCAACTCAACAACTTTAATCAACCTTGTGTATTGTCACTTAAAAAAAAATATCGCACTTTTTACCATCTGTGCTCTCTGTAGTTTTCATTTTGCTTAACATTATGAAGGCCTCACGTATATGATTATTTTGGTTCTTGCTAACGAACGGCTGTTATGGGAAGATATCGATGTTATTCTTGCACCAGAGCAGTATATCGGTTGCAGAAAATGTTATGACGATGCCAAAGTTTGAATCTAGATGGTTCTCTTTTTATCGTGGAACTTCTGATGAAACGGATAGCCTTAAGAAACTATATCACGATTGTAGGAAAACACTTTTTAATACACACACACACTGTCATATTTTATAAGTCATGTTTATATTAACATTTAAAAGTGTATTACTACGCAGAAGATACTGATGAGAACGAGTGTTTTTGAAATAACAAGCACAAAATATTTCCTTACAAAAACAACACGTTTTAGGGATACTGCAACAGATGAGTTCGGCAACCAAGTGCTAAATTTCTGTACATTTTTATAAATATTTCATGTGTTAGAATGTTTAGATTTCTTTGCGTACGGTACAATATTTTTACAAAAATGTCAGTTAATGACAAGTGCAAAATAATGAAACCGTTGATGGTCCGACTAATGACAGCAATGGCCTATATATCATCACTCCTGAGAGGCTGGTGTTTATATCATCACTCCCGAGTAGCTTTATTAATTTTAGTTCAAAACACCCAAAAATATCTGTTGAAAAAAATTACTTACCCGACGAAAAAAGGCACAGAAAAATTCATGAAAATGTACATACTCGTAGTTTTGCTTGCTATTTACCTGTTGATTTTACTTGCCAAAAGTGAATAAACGTAAAAATTATGAAATTGTGAATTCTCGGAACTGAAAACATCTAAGACTTATGAGGAGGTAGAAACCTGTCTAAAGTCATTGAAATGAGCGACCTCCTGGATGAACTGGTAATTCGACGATTTGTAATTCCATAAAAGACGTTTGTTTTTGAATTTCGCGCAAAACTACACGAGGGATATCTGCGATAGCCATCCCAAGTTAGCAGTGAAAGACTAGAGGGAAGGCGGCTAGTCATCATCGCCCACCGCCATCTCTTGGGCTACTCTTTTACCAACCAGTAGTGGGACTGACCGTCACATTATAACGCCCCCACGGCGTCGCCCTTTCAGGATGTTTGGTGTGACGGGGATTCGAACCAGTTCACCAGGAAGGTTACTCATCACAAGAGCTTTCAGCCATTATGGTTTATCGTCCATTTGTCGCTCCTAAGCATGCCTGGTAATCACTAACAATTGTACTACATTGACTTCAGTACATTCACACTTGGGAGTGAACATAGTGTTCGAATTGAAATTACATTCAGGTAGTTACAAACAGAAACACAAGTGAATTGTGTATTAAACAGTTTGATAAAATCTAAACAATTTGTACACTTCTCCCTTGTACTTGGTGTAAATTATAATATTCACACCTTTTTGTAGCATTTAAAAGAATGTATATGTGTATCAATGTAATTAGTAAGTTTACGTATCTTCGAAACACGAGATGATCTAATCATTCTAATGAATATTTATCCAACATTAACACTATACGCTTCACAAACAAAAAGCACATCCACAATGTACGGCCAAGTCTGAGATCTAATAGTTTTTGACTCGTCTTATACGTTTTTCTTTCAGTTTAAAAAGTTTTGCATCTCGTCCACATGTAACGTTTACAGTTGTGATTTTAGTATCATGGCTATAATGAAATGGAACCTTGCCTAGCCATACATGACCATCAGACCAGTGTTCATCCAAATAACCTCACAATTAAATGTACTTGCATGTATCGTTTTCTTACACTAACTTACAAACCGAAGCTATTTGTTCAGCATTACAAATTTCTCAACGAGTGTAATAGCCGTAGTTATATCTGCTAGCCTTTCTATAACTATTTCTATAATATTCACAGTTTGTGTAATATTTCCAAACACTGTTTGTCAGTAAATGTTCAGTCTTGACCACCGTATACCTTTTACCTTGAGAATGCAACACAAGAAAGCACCAACCCTTAAATTCTCTCGGTGTTCTTATGGTATTGCTTGATGTAAAATTGGTGGAAGGTGACTGTCACATGTTGCTAGCCCTGTTTTCCTATGAGAATACAGTGATTATTTTGCAGTCTTGTGTTTGATTGGCAAAAGTTAGAGGCATCATATTTTTGTTCTCTCTCTCTGTCTGTCTGTCCGTCTGAGTGTGTGTGAGTGAGAAAGAGGTATTTGCATCAGTCTTATCTTTGTCATCACACAATTCGTTTTGGTGAAGTAACACTCCCTTCACCTACTATTGAATTAACTAATACCAAAAATGATGGACAGATAAACAATATTATTTCAAGTTTAACTGTGATGGTGTTCACAACATATATTGTTTTCCTGGTAATGCACCAATTATTATTTTTTTTTTTTTAACATCTTCAAATTTACCTCCAACATCACTCATCAATTCATACAGAGAAGGATTTGGCCTTCATTCTTCAAGCATCAGTGACTAATACACTACCAACAATCTTAGCATCATCCTGGTTATTGCAGTTGTGACTTAACTACATGTAATTCTTTACATCAAGAATACCATAATGTAAACAAAAAATTTGTAGATTTTTGATAGCACTAGAACAAAACAGTTTACATGTAAAGTTCAAGAAGTGTGTGTGTATACAAATTTAATTAACATGTTAAGAAAGCTGGAATGATAGTCTAGTAGGATACACACACTAGAGATAACATAACTTTCACAAGCAAAACTGAAAAGTCTTTATGTGACCAAGAAAAACAGATTCAAATTTAACGAAGTTTCTCTCATATTTTCAAGTTCAATGTTTCAAACCAAAATGAAGTATTTTGGAAAAGGAACTTTTCATGTATTTTTAATGAAACACCCTCAAAATTTCCAGTTTATTTTTCAAGTTTAACACACACACATATATTCAAATTTCTTATTCATTAATTAGTGCAGTGTATAGTCTGATATACGTCACTGTTCGATTAGATGTTAACTGATTATTCTTATACAAATGTGAAGACTGAATCTCAGTTTGTTTTATTTAACCCGGGTATTCAAACAAACGTTACTTGGACAACATCTTTTATTTAACCTCCAAAGATGATAAAATGAAAACAATAGGTAGTGCAACTGATGCCAAAGTTAAAAAAAACAAAACAAAAACAGCATCTTATGATGTTTTCACGTAAACAATTCAAATGTAAAATCTAATCATGGTTCTTAACATCAGAAATTTTTTTTAACTGATAATGCTTTTATGCTTTATCTTACAACGCAGCATGTGTTAGTACAATGAATTTCACTGTTCAATTTAACACGTTGACTGAACTTGAAAAACAATGTTATGTAATGTAGCTAACTCATTAAAATAATTTAAATTCTTTGGAATTGGTTCATAGAAGAAGGAAAAAAAAGAGAAGTTATCATATTGAAGCTGCATGCCAGAAAACTTGCTTTACAAATCTGAGTGACATATTTTCTTTCCACTAAGTAAGTGTGCAATACATTCTCTGATAAATTAACATTTTATTACACACATTAAATTACCAAATATTGTACTTCAAAACTTAACTTACAAAATTCACACACATTTTGTTTACCTCAAGTTAGAAGTTAACTTTTTAACATTTATCAGCTAGTGCTGAAATCCATGTTTGTCTTTTTGAACAATTACAGTTGAAAATATTTCAGGTTGTACGATTACAAATTATTTAAAACATCTCCTCAAAGATATTAATTTGAACCTACAAATAAACACTCATTTAGGGTCAAATGAACTTTGGAAACATATCTAGGAAAATTAAGAAAAAGTGAATTTGATATCCTAAATGTTCAACATCAAATTTTCATTGACAAAACTATTATCATCTAAAACTGAAAGTTCTTTAGTATCATTTATCAATAAATGTACTGAAATACATTAGAAACATAAAAAAAAAACAATGAAATATTGATCATTGCTTAAGTCTTTTAGCATAAAAATACATGCTAAACTATTTGTAATTATTACAAAAAAAGCACTATGGTTTGAATTTCTATGGTTTATGATGAATAAATTCTTTATTAACAACCGATACCATCTTTTTAAACAGAAATATTAAAATTTTCATACATAATACTATAAGGAATGCAAGGTTTTACTGTTGTAATACATATCAGTGAGAGACATGCCTAAAATTAACCAACACTGCATGCATTTGTCTAATTCCAGATATACACATGCAACCAGATGTCATGGACTGCATACAGATTCTCACAACTTATTTCCACAAATATAGTGGGTTTTTTGTAATTGTTTTTATTATGTGGTAAGCTTTGAACATGAAATGCACTAGAATGGATATGATAAATTACGACAATTTTTCTATTAAATAACCTAACTCAAAGCTCAGGACGTGGGGTCTGGTCACCAGTGATAGGTGCTTGATTTTCTGAATCACCATCACTAGGATTTTCTAGAGGAAAAAGAAAAAAAAATACACAAATGATTCTAATATACTTAAAAGTTAATTAAATACTTGTACAAAAACTAAAAGTACTGACAAAATATTATGAACCAAGTCTGATTAAAGAACAATTTAAAAAGGGATTGTTTGGTGGGCTCTTCAATATACAATCAAGTACTGTCTCTAGACAGAATTGTTAACTGTAATGTCATGAACTATATAACAAATTTGCATTCAATACTTATTAATAAATAAAAATCTAGAATGAGGATTTTGTTTTTACCTCAATACATTTACAACAATATCTGACATATACATAATACTTATTAATATATAAAAATCTAGAATGAGGATTTTGTTTTACCTCAATACTTTTACAACAATATCTGACATGTACATAATACTTATTAATAAATAAAAATCTAGAATGAGGATTTTGTTTTTACCTCAATACATTTACAACAATATCTGACATATACATAATACTTATTAATAAATAAAAATCTAGAATGAGGATTTTGTTTTTACCTCAATACATTTACAACAATATTTGACATATACATAATACTTATTAATAAATAAAAATCTAGAATGAGTATTTTGTTTTTACCTCAGTACATTTACAACAATATATAAAATTCTTATTAAATATCTAGTTTCATTGGCTTTTCCAAAACAATGAATCAGCAGAGTAGTGAAGCCTTACTTTCAACTGATTGTCTGTGCTTTCACATAAAAGTTATACATTCCTCTAGCTTGTATTAAAGACTTTTCCATAATATTAAGGTGCTCAAAAGAAACATTAATAAATAAATTGTATATCACGGGGTGTGTGGGTGTGGTAAGTCTACTTACTGCTTATTGTTAACAGTAATATTTTAAATTCTGCTGCAATTAAACCCATTCTTCATTAAAATACATAAAATATTTGATATTTCATCAAATTTCCCTTTTTTTTGGTTTCATGGAAATACAAAATGCCTAGTTGAAAAAGTGATAAAATGCTTTACAAATAATATAAGGAAATGAAGTTACAAGTAGAAAAAGACTTGCATTTAATATAAGATTGTATATAAAAACATAAAACATTCAACTTATTTTCTGTTATTTCTCTATTCACCTAACAAAAATTCCTTAGAATAATATCAAAGTAGTAACAATTCTATTTACTTAGAAAACTCTGAGTTTATCTTATCAAGCATTAAGTTGAAATATAGACCATCATTCAAAATACTGGTAAAAATCCAGAATTAACCCTACAGTACATCAGAAATACCCATATTGACACTTTGATAGTGTCCACCATATGATCTAGCCTTCCCTTTTCAACAACTGTACTTTAACAAATACATTGTTTTACACTGTCAAGCTAAAATTACATGTACCTGTACTTGTTATTAAATATTCCCTTTATATTCACAGACAAATCTTATTTTTAGTTTATTAAAAATACTTCACTAAAAAATATGATTTTTTGTATGTGAAAGACTTGTAATGTTTACTGAAAGTTTGACAAATTTTGTGAAGATATACATACTATATTAAAAGTTAGTAGTATTAAAACTATAAAGTCTTTAAACGAGTACAAAGAGGTCATGTAACCTGCCAAATCTACTGAGCCTGTGTTGAAAGATTTAAAATGCAATCCAAAAAACACCCAGAAAACATATAAAATGTCAAACCTAGCTGGTCATAAATGGTGTACAATTGCATACTAGTATTTAAAAAGCACTGAAAATAGTATTTATCTTCAATTATACACCAATATAGGTTAGAATCTGCTATGCAACAGCACATGAACACATTGGAAATTATTAGAGAACCTGATTCAGGTGCTTGAACCTATAATGTCATGAATCAAACTACGCATTAATCACTGTATGCACCCAATTTTGGGAAGGTAGTTGTCCAGTAATGTAACCATATAAAAAAACAACCCAACCACAGATAAACCTAAGTAATTCAGAATGCTAATAGCAGAGAAATAATGTATAAGATACAAAAGATGAAACAAATATCAAATAATAAAATAAAAAGGAATAAATAAATAAAAGGATTATGTTCCCTAACCATACATAATCAAAAGCAGCCCATCCACCTCCCGGGAATGCAAAGTGAAAAGAAAGAGCACCATGTAAGTTATCATAGGAGTATAATATGCATAATAATGGCTTCTCCAACTTGTGACATAATTATCACTGGTGGCTACATTGTATTTAGTCCTTGGGCTATATGTTACTGATGTGCAAAACAATGATGATGCAGCACTTCAATCATTATTCCAAAATTATGTACACAACATTCATACCTGGAACCTGTTGTGGCTGTTGCAAATTAAAAAAATTCAGTGACACATTAAATCTCCTACATAAGCTGGGTACAAAAACCCAGATACTAAACTTTTTGCAAATGAGGCCTAACCAGCATTCCAGAGAGGAATTCAATGTTTCACGGTTTGTCACAGACATCCTTTGGTGATGAAAGAAATAAATGGTAACAAAAAAAAAAATAATGGAAGCAACTGCAAATTCCTTTTATACTGAACTATGTAAGAACTGTCAGTGTTCATTGCAAATGATATTGAACTGCTCTCATAAAAACACAGAATCTGATTCTGCTGTTGCACAAGTCCTATTTAAATTGGTCAAACACCAACCCACCACACTGTAACAGAATAAAAGAGTTTGGTAACAAAAATGTCAATGTGGAAAAAAACTTGAAAAAGGTGAAACAGCTTTGGAATTTCAAAACATGCTGAAGACTTTTAGGAGTCTCTGACAGTAGGTGTGTGTCAGCTGAAGCAGGCACATAAAAACATCTGTCTAAGAACACTGTGCAACATGAGAGTCAATAGTAAAAGAGATGGTGTTTTCTGTGTAAAGACTTAGTCCTGCCACATTTCAAATAAAGTGTAGTATTATCTGAATTCAGCCACACAATCAATGTGACCCATTTACACTAGTTTGGCACTGCTCATGTTGCACATGTGCAAAAGCAGTGGAATGCTGTGCATACAGTATTAGTAGCATGGCTTTTAGGACATAAACAGTGAAGAATAGAGGCATACAAAAATCAGCTTACATGCCTAAAAGTGTTACAATGCTGTGACAATCATTAATGAGCAGGCCAAAGACACAGAAGCCTATTGAAGCTACATCAAGAAGCTTAGAGTGTGGTTGAATGGGAGTGTTATGAAACCAGTTTCTTCAGCCATTTTTCTTATGAAAACAGTTTATGATTTTGAAGTATGGCTGAAATCTTATGAATTTTTTTGTCACTTTGTTAACACTCTAGAACTTTAACAACTGATAAGTGTACTAACCACACCACTGCACTGTTGAAATAATCATGAATTCGCTATGAACCAGATATGTTAGTACTAAAGATGCCACCTTTAGCAGCATGGTTTACATCTGCACTGTCATGTAACTGCACAAACATAGAAATCATTCATATAAAGCTTGATTAATTTTTTGTTGGTTAAACAGGCAGAAAATTAGCCTTAAGACCCATTTAAAACATTGAAATTTACCAACCTTTTACACGGTCAGCACCATCATCCAATTGTAATGTTTCTTCAATAACTGAAGAAGTTAATTTCTCTTCTTTTTCTTCTTTTTCCGCTTCTTTCTCTTCTTTTGCTGAGTCTGTGCACAAAAACATAGTTATTATATTTGAAAACCAAAACATCATAATTAAAAAGGAAACGAGTTAACATTTAAAAAAGATTTTTTCTTTGTGAGAAACAACAATTTTTTCACTTACATTCACTATTCCACTCTCAATGCTTTAAGTGACTAAATATTAAATATCAACTTACTAATCACAGTCTAGATGATCAGAGAAACAAGACCAGAATAAATTCTCATCAAAATACATGTAAATGCATAGACTTTTTCAAACTCAAATCTATCAAACTGGACATCAAAATAATGTTATAAAGCATGAATTAAAACATTATTTTGAAGACAAGGACCTGACACATTTTGGCAGCCCCAGGTTGCCTTCTCATCTTAATGCTTTAAATCTACATATGCTACAGTTTCTACACCCCTGATAATGTTATTGATGTTCTAAAACAGTTTGTTACAAAATAACAGATCCACACTTATAAAACATAAAAACTTCAGGAAAATTTGGAATTACAAATTAAAAAGACCTAATATTTGAGTCCATCCATAGATTCCAAACACTTAATTCACAGGTACACCAAAAGTATTTCAAAATATTCTACATCAAAACAATAACCTCAATTTAGGACAGTGATGTCTCTACCAGAAAACAAGTCAAGACTTTATTTCAGTAAATTCATTCTCAACTGCAGTCCTTAGGCTTTTCTAAATAATACAAGATAACAAGTTTCTGGAATAAAATGTTTAAAGAAATGCTTAAGATAAATGTTGCTGGATAGATCCAAATACTAAAGAACAAGATGGGTGAAAAAAAGATGAGCAAATCCTATATCCAAGGTCTTTTATAAAAAGACAATATAAACACACCACATATTTTAATAGCAAGCTTGACCACATCAGACTTACGTAAGACTAAAAGTTCTAAATTCTGACCACTTCCCAATTTCTAAAAATTGCCACACTGTGCCACAATTAAACTGGTAATTATTAGTTCACATAATAGTGCCAATCCTCAAAAATGAATCCAAACTTGTTATAATAATGAACAGAATTTTATCCATCATTATCTTTTTTTCCAAGGTTGCTATTTAGTATTTTCAAATTGAATAGCACTTTATACAATACAAGGGCTAAACAGCCAGGTCAGAGAATCAAAGTTGAAGCATAGCAATCTTTATTATAAAACTGCCAACCAGCAAGACAGCATCAGTCACTAACATCCACAGTGTACACAAATAGCACAACTGACTGTATAAACTTTCATAGTATGCCACACACAGAAGTGTGAACATTTTTAGCAGCATTTTTCAGATATGAACTTTGGACCTTTTGATTCACAGCTTAGTGTGTTAACCACTAAGCCATGCCTAGCACTCCAAGGTTGATAACAATTCTTCCACTAAATCAAAAATTACAGTTAACCACACTTTATACAAATATTAATATCCAGTATATTTGTATAATGGGTGGATGTAACTTCTTTATCATGTGAATAAAGTGTGCATAAAAGGATAATACAACTGGACTATGACAAGCTTATCATCCTTACCAAATAATACTACCATAACACAAATGAAAATAATGTGCAAGAAATAATCATTACAATTTACCAGCATAAAGTTTAAGAACACCATTTAAATCCAGCAAACTATTTTAAGCAGTTGAGTTAGCTGGTTTTTATTTCACAATTCATGAGACCAATATCTAAAACTAACTGTATCCAGTGGTGTAGAAGTGTCTCTACATATATATATATATGTTGTATCTAGAGAATATATAAGAAGCACTTAAAATAGTAGCTTGATTAGTATGAGATACCACTTTTTGTTATTTTGCAAAATAAAAATTTCACATTTGCATATTCATTTTCTTTCATGAATATTTAAATACAAGAAAAACTGTTACATACATTATTTCTACAAAAAATTCATTTTTCTGAAATTTTATTTATTTATTATTATATTTTTTAATCAACTGACTTAGTTTTCTTTATGTTCAATACAAATTAAAGTTTTGTTGTTCATATAACATTATTTCATGGTACAACAATCCAGAAATGCTAATATGGCAAATAACCAAACTTTTCTTTATGATATGAACGTTAAAAATATAATAGCCAAGCAACAAATCATTAATTCTTGAAGAATTTTAAAATATCTTCCTAAAGTAATTTTAAATACAATAAAGCTGAATAACTCCAAACCTGTGTGTGTGTGTGTGTGTGTGTGTGTGTGTGTGTGTGTGTGTGTGTGTGTGTGTGT